CTTGTGTTCCAGGCCCCGTCTCCATGAATTTTAAAAAAAAAAAAAAAAAAAACAACAAAAACCACCACAAAGTCGTTCTTTTATTGGACATCCTGGGCCAAGACCTGCAGGGACCCAGCCAGGAGCCTCCTCAAAAGGCTCCTTGTGAAGGGACGCTGAGGAGGAGGAGGAGGAAGGCGGCCGCGCCTCGACTCGCTCCCGGTGCTCGGGAGCGGCACAGCCCCGCCTCAGCCAGGCCCGGAAGGCGCTCGGTGGCCCCCGGCCCCGGTAACGCCCAGCGCCTTCCCGCCGCCCCTCCCGCTGCCCCTTCACCCCTTCCAGCTCCTCCTCCTGCCGGGCCCATCCGCCCCTGCCCCCGCCCACTTAAGGCAGCCGGGGCCGCCTTCCCGCGGCGGCGAGGTCCGGGAGAAGATGGCGGCGGCCGCGGGCTGGGCCCTGCTGGGCCTGGCGCTGTGGCTGTGTGCGGCAGCCGCGGCCGGCGAGCCGGAGGGGAAGCGGCGGGCCGGGCCAGCGAAGAAGAAGGACATTCGGGACTATAACGACGCGGACATGGCTCGGCTGCTGGAGCAGTGGGAGGTGCGGGGAGGGGCCGGGGGACCCGCGGCCGGCAGCACGGAGGCCGCTCCGCCGGGGGAAGGCGGGAGGTTTGGCGGCCGCGGCCCGGCCGGCCTCCCCCCGGGAACCCCTGGGGCCCGGTGGCCTTGGGGTGGCCGCCGCCAGCCCGTGTGCTGGAGGTTACAAAGGCGGGGGGAGCGGGCGCGGAAGGGGCTCCCGGGGTGCGGCCCCGGCCCCCACAGCCTGCCCGGCCGGCCCCTGCCCAGCGCCCGAGCCCCACACACCGGCGGTCGGTGCGTGCCAGCCGCCTGGCTTGACTTAAATGTCTGCTCTTCAGGGGTGTTGAGGGGATATACGTTTTGCAACCAAACAATACCTGGATAGCAGGAGAAATAATCATTCCGCTTTTACAGAGTAGATAAGGAATTGTTTTTTTGGTCTGGTGTTTCTTTCCTTACCACCTCTTATGGTAACGACTTCTCATTCCAGCTCTCTTGTCCCCCTTCATCCCCATCACCCCACTGCTGTAACTTTCTTTGACAGCTCCCCGTCACTCTCTTCTCCCCGTGCTTGTCATGCCACTGTTCCATTCTTTTCACTATTTTTGTCTTCAGTCATCTGACAAATGCCAGAGCACTCATCAGTGGCTTTTATTCTTTCCCATGAGGCTGTTCCCCAGAACATTTCTGAACAAAAGCTGGAGGAAATAATAGAGTGAAAACTTCTCCTGTAACTCCAGATACAGCTCTAAGTCAAGATGGAGAAGCAGGTTTTGTATGTGTAATGTAGATAAAGTGACTTCAGTGAGAAGTAAGGATGTATGCCGTGGACCTGCTTCTTGGACCTTCTTGGCAGGTTGTTGACTTGTTCATCCCATAGACTTATGGTGTCTTTCCCTTTAGGAAGTAAGATTCTTAGAAAATTGAGTTAAAACTTTAAGTATGTAAAAAGTTCATCTTTCTGTTAGTGCCATGAGTCAAGGACCAGATAGTCCCAGCTATATTGGCCAACTTCGACCAAATTTGGCACTGGAGGAAGAGTCTTGAGCATCTCTGAGATTGTGAATTCAATGCCTGGATGAAAGAGAGTCCAAAGCTAATGCTGTCATGACTCTTTGGCTGTGTGTTTTGTTCCAGCCATGTGGCAAGCAGGGTCAGGAGGCTGTTTGGGTTTTTTTCCTCTTTATCTGGAGCCGGTCTCTGATCCAGTTCTCCATGTGCTGCACAAATGCTTGTCGCCATGTTGTGTGCAGATGTGGCTGAGCAGCTGAGGAGTTGGCTGCTGGGGCTGAGGAGATGCAGTGGCATGGAGCCATCTGTACAGCCAGAGCCCTAGGAGAAAAAAGTCGCTATAGCAGGGGCTCAACAATTAACAGTTGTTTGGTTCTTTGGGATGGTCAGCTCTATGGCATTTTGCCTGATGGTAGTCAGGGCACTTAGAAGGAACATGAAAGACTTGAGGGGTTGGTGGCTGGAGGACAGAGGAGAAGAAAGGGCATGAGTGGAGTGGACTTGATGGGGTGGGATGAGAAACAAAGGGGCCATTATGAATTTGGATAAGAGCGAGAATTATGCTCGGGAGTGAGGGCCACAGGGCACAGATCTGTACAGAATCATGTCATTACTTTCAGCTGAGTGAAATGACTCGTAATATTTTTTAATTTCCCTCTAAAATGATTGGTGGATGGTGGCTATAACATCCGTGGGGTGAGCTACAAGCCCGGTGAGGCTGTGGCTCCAGCAGCCTTCCCAGAAGGAGCAGCCATCTCTCTGGTCAGGCTCTTGTCCTCCCCTTGCACTTTGCTGGTGCCACCATGTGCACCACTGCCCCGTGAACTGGGAGAGTGATCGGTTGAAAATGAGCATGAGGAACAGGAAAAGAGACAGGGGTTGCTTCAAGCAGCTCAGTTGCAGTAGGTGGCTCTGAGGAAGCCACCTAGGGATTTCCCTCATGGAGAGGGACTCTCCAGCAGCCTTGAGTCCAAAGGAGCCAGAAACAGAACTGAGAATCTGGGCTGAAGGTCTTTCTATTACTGAAATGTCATAGTCTTCAAATAGTTCCTTATTGTTTTAAGCTCAGTGTTTCTCAGGCTTGCCTCTGAGCTAAGACTATTGAATAGGCTAAGGACTTAGGTTACATGTGTTGCTAATATTTTTAAAAATAAAAATCCAGGGCATTGATGAGAAATGTATGAGGATGGGAGCTGAGGGGAAGAGAAAGAGAAGGAATATATAGTTATTACTGGGCCTGTGTAATGCTTTCCCTCTGCAGCTGCTGGTTACTGTTTAAATGAGTGAATGCTAGACACTTCAAAGCAAAGCTTACACTTCTTCCAGTCTTTTACTTTGTAGATAGTTTTATAAATACAAACCTGCATGATAGTTTGTACAGAACTGAGAAAAGAAGTGTCGTGTAGGGGAGCTTTTGACTCTTTCTTATACTGTTTTTATTCAAACTGTAACAATACAGCTTTATGAACATTTAGTTGAATAGTGAAGGGAAAAAATGTTAGTATATTTTAGGCTGTGTTGTCACTAGATCCGAAGTCAATTTCTGTATTGTCTAAGGAGTATTTGTAAACATTTGTTTCTGCCTTTCATTTTCAAAACTCTGAAATAGGCTGGTTTTGCACTAGCCAAACCTGTCTAAAATTAGGATTGATTTGCTTTTACTTCTGAAGAGTGTTTTTCATTCAGTCATGTAAGATTTTGTATTTTCACTGTACTTTACCAATGTGAGCATTTTTCAGCTTCCTCTAAGGTAAGTTTTGTTCCCGTTTGGTGATGGCAGAGGGACTTCCCTGGGGCTCTCCTTTGCTCCCACTTAATGTGGAATTTTCAAAGGAGTGTGAGCTACTTGAAAGCATGCTGCTTCAGGCTTGCAAAATTGAAACAGATATGTAATTAGTAAGGAAAGACAGGATAAAATCTAAGGCTTCTACAACTTTTATTCTGTGGTAACTAAATTTTAAACTCTAGTCAGACAGAAAACTACGTAGTTGAGGTGGGAAATGAACATAGGTCACTTGTATGAAACCTTAACCTTTAACGGGTATGGGTGGCTCTCAGTTGTGGGATGTCGTAAGAGGATGATGTTGTGTTTGTATAGATACATGTATGGAATTGAGAAGGTAATGCATACTTAGATGTAAAAATCAAACTCAGCTCCTGACCGTTCAGGCTTCTGAAGGGAATGTCTTTAGATACTGCTACAGTTCCTGCTCCTAATGGAGTGATGCATATTGTCACTAAATGCTTGAAGACAAAACAACACCTAAAAGATCTGCCTTAATTCCTGCTGATTTACTAGTGCTTGGTTGGATGCCAGTATAAGACTTCTGGGGTTTTCTGTCTTTTTTTTTTTTTTTTACTTTTTAGTTCTATGATAGAAATGCTGTTTAATAAATCAAATTCTGTCTCAATGTCAGTTGTCACTATGTTCATTCCTCTCTGTCACGAGCTGTTTTAAGGGGCAGCAGTTTGAAGTCTGCTTTTCCAAATATTTAAATGCCTGTCAACCTTAGCAGAGGCATCAGGAGTTTTTTCCTTTTTTTTTTTTTTAAAAAAAAGTGATTTACTCATGATTATGTTGTCAGACTGTGAGCTGCATCTGTGCATTAGAAAAGTCATGAAGCCTTTAGTAAAAGTTCTCATGTGTTATGAGCATTCAAATTCTGAATTCTTGTGTTTTTATTTGTTTAAAGACACAAAGTAAGAAAAAAAAATTCTCAAGTGATTTTATGATTCCTAGTAGTCAGTTTTGACCTCTGAAAGCAATATGCAGATGACTTATTTATGTGTATGAGGCTTTTTAGTGCAACTTTCTCAGTTCATCAGGTATACTTACAGAATTTCTGTGAAACTGTGGGGAAAAAAAAGAGCATTATTTTATGCACTAGTTGGGTGGAGTTGTATTGAATTCAGCCTTGAGGCTGAAATATTTCTCAGTACGTGGTAAAATGAGATTCTGCCTGTCAGTATTAAAATGTGCATCATTTTGAGGGGAGGGTTATAAATGGAAAGAGCACCGTTGGTGAAGCATCCTGAAACAAAGCTCACTATTTCTTTTGGTTTGAGAATCTCATCATTAAACTAAAAAATGCTTTCTCTTTATCAAAGCAGAGTTATTCTCTAAACAATAGGAATTTTCAAACAAGAACAGCTTTGTGGAACAGTTGAGTTTAAAGCCTCCTTTTCCCTTTCAAAACAGAAAGATGATGACATAGAAGAGGGGGATCTTCCTGAACACAAGAGGCCTCCGGCGCCAATAGATTTCTCAAAAATTGATCCAGGCAAGCCTGAAAGTATCCTGAAGCTGACGAAAAAGGGGAAGACTCTGATGATGTTTGTCACCGTGTCGGGAAATCCCACAGAAAAGGAGACGGAAGAAATAACTAGTTTGTGGCAGGGCAGTCTCTTCAATGCCAACTATGACGTGCAAAGGTGAGCTCTTGTACACAAGGATAAAGTTCTTGCTTTTATGGAACCCTTATTTCTTTCTTCCTGAAAATCGTTTCAGTTGTTCGTCTTGTCCTCTTCCCCACCTCCATCTTCCATCACTATTCCTTTGTTTCTGTATCTGTTTATAGCAATTTATTTTAAGTCATGCTACAACAATTCTGGTGTGATGCAAAACTCTCTTTAACACAGCCCATGATGTACATGTAGCCTCATTTCTTTTTATCTCATTACGTGTTCGCTGCAGTAGTTTGCCTTTCTGTGCGTGATGGAAAACATCACACTTGGAAGACTTCTCGCCACAAAAGGCTTTTTGTTCCCTTGTCTAAAAAATGTGATTTTTCTGTCAGAGTGAGAGGATTATTTTGAAACAGAGGAATGTTGTGCTCTTGAACTGAGGCTGGGAAGGATTGCAGCAAGTGTATAAAGCAAATTTAATGCCCATTAGTGGGTTTTACATAGTGCCGAATTAGTCCTTAAGTTTTCTTTGTGTTCTTACTCCTCCTTGGTTGTTTGTAAACTTAATACATTTATTATTACTTGGGCTAGGAAATTGTTCTCTCATCCCCATCCTCAGGCTACAACAACAACAAGACCAACTTCTTGCTGTTAAACATTTAAGATACGTATCCCTCAGTTGTGGAGGTACTCTGAATTGGGGAAAGTGTTGTAGGCCTTGAAAGGTGAGGAGCTAACTTGTGTCTTTTCTCTAGGTTTATTGTGGGCTCAAATCGTGCCATCTTTATGCTACGTGACGGCGGTTACGCCTGGGAGATCAAAGACTTCCTGATAAACCAAGAAAGGTGTGCAGATGTTACTCTGGAAGGTCAGGTTTATCCCGGCAAAGGAGCAGAAGAAAGTGAGAAAGTGAAAAACAAAACAAAACCTGAAAAAGCAAAGAAGAAAAAAGATGGGGACAAGAAATCTAATAGCGTCAAAGAGGACAACCGAGCAACCAAACAGAGGGAGGACCTATGACGGATGCATTAACCAGACTGAATGCTGCTCTGGTGTTCCTTGAAGGGAAACTGAATTTCCACACAATTCCTGGCTCTATTGGGAGGGGCAGGGGGGAAGGAAGCAGAGCTTACTGAGGTTGAAAGACTTCGATGTTGAAATTCACCAGTTTACTTATTAATACTGTCCATTTGTTTAGTTACAGGAAAGGTAATGTTTAATACCAGCGATTGACTACTTTAGTTTGGAATTTTTTTATGCTTTTTTTGTTGTTTAAAATTAACATACAAATCTGTGTGTCTAACATCATAAACTTAAGTGGAAAAGAAGAAACACAGTCTCAGAATCCACCAATGTTCATCTGTAGTAGCCATGTCCATCCTGGGTATGCAAGTTGGTGATTGATTCATAGCTGCTGTTAGGCAGCAGAGTACAGTGCTAAAAGTTTCTCTTGGAAGCCAGTTTGCTTGACTCAGTTGGCAAAACTGCCTAAAATAGTGTTACAGTGGCCAAAGATGCCTGAAATGACAGGGTTTAGGACACGTCTGCTTAGACTGCCTGTTACTTTAAAATAAACAAAACATATTTTGTATGTCCCCAGAAATCCACAAAGTGTAGAAGCATGGTAGAAGCTAAGCAGGTATTTGGCTAACGTGCCCCGAATCAGTGCAGAAAGGAGACTCTGCTCCTGTCAGAAGGGATGGAGGGGTGTTCATGGAATTGCAGTACCCACACCAGCAGTGGGGTGGGAGGAAAAGTCAGGTTCGTGCCATTCAGGTTGCTACTGCTGCCAAAGAACTCTGCCTGTGGAAGCAAATGTTATGTATGCCCCATTATCTAGACAGTGAGGTATGAGAAATAGCTTTAACTCTGAAATTGATTTGTTTTACTGATTTAAGGGATTGTTTAAATCTGTGAAAAAGTACTGGTTGCAGTACAGAGTTAAACTTTGAGTCAGATACCTCACTTAATGATGTTTAATAACCAGATTATATCCCGGGTACAGGTTCCTGACTGACGTGGTTGATTGTCAATGAACATTTGATTTAAATACTATGAAGTTTGATGTATAGGAGTAAATTTGATTTCTCCTCGAAAGACTTTGTATAATTGGGAAGGCTTTATTATTATTTAGATTGTATTCAGTCAAATGAATTGCTTAGAATTGTTTCCCTTCTGCCTTACTCTCTTTTAAGGACTAAACGCACCTACTATATGTGGTCCACATCATTTTCCAGAGGATGAGCACAGTATTAACTGTCTTCATTCCATACTACAAAGATGTTACTTTGAGTCTTTATTTAAGGTGCTAAAATCCAAGTGTTTTGGATAAAAGGTCCTAATTGAACCATAATGGTTGATCTTGTTGAATACTTCAGTAGCAAAAGTGGGAAACAGACTTACTGAGTGCTTGTTCTGAAATAAACGATGTCACTGCGCTTGCTGTTTCACTGAGTACTAAAATCTTTTAAATAATTACACATTAGTTAGACTAACTCATCTTTAGTTTCTGTACGTAAGGACTAAATGATGTTGATGAAGGTTCCAGGTGATAATTTTAATTATATTTGTATGAATTCAGGATTAAAGAAATCTTTCCTGCCAAACTTCATCAAACAGACAAAGGCCCATTTGTCTGAATGGAAAAATGAAAATCCTGTATTTCTTCAGGTTTAACTGTACTGCTTTTGTATTCTAGTATTAATCCAAATGTGTAGCAGAGTTGAAAGGAGTCTGTGTAGGTGTTTGGATTTCCCATGGCATTGAGGAGAGATGTGCAGTCCATTTCTTGTTCATAACTAATTTATCGTTTTGTCAAGGGTTTCAGGTTTGCACCTCCCTTTTTTTTAAAGAATATTGCTTCTCATCTCAAGAGATGAACAGAGGCCAGATGAAGCTATAACTATGAAATATTAATGAAGTTTATCCAACTTAAATCTATGGTATAGAGATGATAGTTCATTTCTGCATGTTTCTGATCATAATCTGCAGTTTCTGTAGTTTTCCTAATGTTATGAAACACACATGATTTATTTTTTGAACAAATTGGGTTCTTCCTGAGCTAAATAATGAAGCAATGCAAAACAGTAGACAAAATGATACAAAAGCAAATTAGCTTACAAATTAGCAAATTAGGAGAATTATACTATAGCTATAGTCCAACTTTTGAGAATAGATAGTTGCTTTAGACACTCATAAATCTACATTTACAGTCAGCTGGGTCTTTCCCCAGGGGGAGCAGGGAGGGGGCAGCTTTGTTGCATTTCAGCCTGCCCATTGACTGGGGGTTTTGTTTGGTTGCTTTGAGTCACTAAGTTGCCTGTGCCAAATGCAGGCATGTTTTGTGCCACATGGCTTATTTACATTTTCAAGTGTTTAAAGAGGTTTTTTTTTAGGTTTTTAATAGGAGTAATGACTTGGGTGTTGCTTTTTGGTACAAAATTCAAAGCCTTCAAGTATCTTTTGTCTTTCATTTTTCTTCTCCCCTTTTCATGCTTTGCACTCAACAAGTAAAGAATTATGACAGTAAGTAGGACGGGTCAGTCTGGCAGGGACTTCTTCACCAGCCCGACTTTCTCTGGTATCTGGTTTGTGACTCTACTCCAAAACAACTTATGTTCCCTTTTAAAACTAACGAGTCTTTGAGACCCCGGCACTTGTACTGGTGCAGTGCTACGTAAGCAGGCGTTGTTTTGTAATAATTTAGGAGGTCTGAACACAATATCACTTCTCTATATATGAAAAAAAATAAGTATCTTCAAAAAGTTGCTTAAGGCGATGACCGTGGTGGAAGTACCCCGGCAGATGTTAGGTTCTGTGTCTGAGTCTCATCAGATTTCCAATAACACATTTTTGGCTCTACATGCAGGCGATTCAGATACAACCAAGTAGGGTGGTGATTATAGCTCTTATTATTTCCTTATTTTTTCAGTACTACACAGAGGTATGTGGAAAATCATTTGTTTTCATGACAGCCAAATGTCTGCTGCCTTTCTCCCCTCAGCTTGGTGGTTTCTCTGTTCTAGTGCCATAACTAAGTTTTCTAATTCATCATTATATTTTCAACCCAGCTGTCCTTCTCAGATAAAACACTTTGTCAATGATGGGGTTGCACTTTGTGAAAAATTTCCAATGGACAATCAACTTTTTATGTAATAAAATATTGGAGCAAATACCTTGGGGGTTGGTTTTGGTTTTGTTTTTTGGTTTGGGGTGGTTGTTTTTTTTTTTTTTTTAAAGGTAATTCTAATATGTTCTGTGTGCCTTATCTGATTTACTGGGAAGAAAAAAATGTCAATTTAAATTCCTACCTAGAAGAGTGCAAGTGCATCCCCTGTTTTTGGGGGACTTAACTTCATGGAGCAGAGTAGGAAAGTTGACATTTAAATAAGTAGGACCAGTGCCCCTAGGACCTGAGAGAAGTACCACGTGTGGCAAACTAATAAATGCTGGCGCTTGGATTTATAACATCCTCACCAACTACTAAATCTTACTAATTAGAGATGCATGCACTGGCAACGTTTTAAAAAGATGACACTTGCAGGTGCAGTCACTGTCCCCTTGCTGAGATTTATACGTGGTGGGGCTATAAAACCTCCGGTAACACCGTGCCTGTTGCTGGTCCTGTCTCTGCTGCACACTCCCCTCGAGTGCCCCATTTTCTGGCAGGGAAATTCATGGTTTCCATTTCTTTTACAGCTTCTCTTGCTTTGTCTTTAGCTTCATTGCTGCACTTATTCCTAGGTGAAGAACACATAATTTTTTTAAATTCCATCTTGGAGTCTGATTTCTGGTTTTCACCTGAGTGGTCAAAACATTTCTCTGAGCAGTCGGATCAGCCTTGGCTTCACAAAGGCTCCACGTTCCTGTCACTGTTTCTCAACTCTTTCCATTTTCTTGAGAAAAAGGAAATCATAAATTAAAATAGCGTTTTATGCTACGATACGGAACAGAGTACTTTTGTCTGATATTTGGCCACTGTTCTCATGGGGTTTATAGCAAAGCTTGGAAATTATTTCCAGTCTTTATCTGCGGTTCATTTCCTTTTCTATTCAAGGAGTAACAGCCTTTGCCTTTTCCAGAGGGTTGTGGGGATTTTTTTTAAATTGCATTGGATGTTTCTAGAAATTTCCCCTGTTTTTACAGGCGCCTCTTTCATTGGTACTCTCACATTTCGTTGGTACTCTCACATTTCTCTTAGGATTGCCATCCAGCTACGTCTGCTGATGTAATTTTACTTGATAAGTCTTACTCTGGGATAAAATGAACTATTTTTGTGTAGCACTGTCTTTAATGCTGTGCCACTTTAACGGGGACAAACCCTATTGGATTCAGGTAACATTAAATTGCCAGAAGGTTAGAGCTGCTTGGATTTATGAAGGAAAAACACTCCACTTGAGGTTTTTTTTTGGTCGTGGTGGTTTTTCTCCTCCAGTTAGAGGTCAGGGGATGGGACGCTCCATCCATCTCCAGCAGAAGAGGTCTGGGCAGTGCAGTTTCTGATTAAAAGGCTGATGTAACACATTACAATCAAGCGTTATAGGACACACCAGCCTCTACCCAAAGACAGCTGGTAAATGTGATACTGCTTTCCCATGTGATACTACTTAACAGACCAGTGTTTTCACTGTGGATATTGGCATCAGCTGAGGATCAATTATCAGTGGCATTGGATTGGATTTCTGTACCAAAGCATCATCAATTTCATCACTTAATGTACTGTTCATCACTTAATGAACAGTAATAATTGTAATAAAGATTTTTTTTTTAGTTTAAAGAGGTTTTTTTTTAGGTTTTTAATAGGAGTAATGACTTGGGTGTTGCTTTTTGGTACAAAATTCAAAGTACTGCCTTCAAGTATCTTTTGTCTTTCATTTTTCTTCTCCCCTTTTCATGCTTTGCACTCAACAAGTAAAGAATTATGACAGTAAGTAGGACGGGTCAGTCTGGCAGGGACTTCTTCACCAGCCCGACTTTCTCTGGTATCTGGTTTGTGACTCTACTCCAAAACAACTTATGTTCCCTTTTAAAACTAACGAGTCTTTGAGACCCCGGCACTTGTACTGGTGCAGGGCTATGTAAGCAGGCGTTGTTTTGTAATAATTTAGGAGGTCTGAACACAATATCACTTCTCTATATATGAAAAAAAATAAGTATCTTCAAAAAGTTGCTTAAGGCGATGACCGTGGTGGAAGTACCCCGGCAGATGTTAGGTTCTGTGTCTGAGTCTCATCAGATTTCCAATAACACATTTTTGGCTCTACATGCAGGCGATTCAGATACAACCAAGTAGGGTGGTGATTATAGCTCTTATTATTTCCTTATTTTTTCAGTACTACACAGAGGTATGTGGAAAATCATTTGTTTTCATGACAGCCAAATGTCTGCTGCCTTTCTCCCCTCAGCTTGGTGGTTTCTCTGTTCTAGTGCCATAACTAAGTTTTCTAATTCATCATTATATTTTCAACCCAGCTGTCCTTCTCAGATAAAACACTTTGTCAATGATGGGGTTGCACTTTGTGAAAAATTTCCAATGGACAATCAACTTTTTATGTAATAAAATATTGGAGCAAATACCTTGGGGGTTGGTTTTGGTTTTGTTTTTTGGTTTGGGGTGGTTGTTTTTTTTTTTTTTTAAAGGTAATTCTAATATGTTCTGTGTGCCTTATCTGATTTACTGGGAAGAAAAAAATGTCAATTTAAATTCCTACCTAGAAGAGTGCAAGTGCATCCCCTGTTTTTGGGGGACTTAACTTCATGGAGCAGAGTAGGAAAGTTGACATTTAAATAAGTAGGACCAGTGCCCCTAGGACCTGAGAGAAGTACCACGTGTGGCAAACTAATAAATGCTGGCGCTTGGATTTATAACATCCTCACCAACTACTAAATCTTACTAATTAGAGATGCATGCACTGGCAACGTTTTAAAAAGATGACACTTGCAGGTGCAGTCGCTGTCCCCTTGCTGAGATTTATACGTGGTGGGGCTATAAAACCTCCGGTAACACCGTGCCTGTTGCTGGTCCTGTCTCTGCTGCACACTCCCCTCGAGTGCCCCATTTTCTGGCAGGGAAATTCATGGTTTCCATTTCTTTTACAGCTTCTCTTGCTTTGTCTTTAGCTTCATTGCTGCACTTATTCCTAGGTGAAGAACACATAATTTTTTTAAATTCCATCTTGGAGTCTGATTTCTGGTTTTCACCTGAGTGGTCAAAACATTTCTCTGAGCAGTCGGATCAGCCTTGGCTTCACAAAGGCTCCACGTTCCTGTCACTGTTTCTCAACTCTTTCCATTTTCTTGAGAAAAAGGAAATCATAAATTAAAATAGTGTTTTATGCTACGATACGGAACAGAGTACTTTTGTCTGATATTTGGCCACTGTTCTCATGGGGTTTATAGCAAAGCTTGGAAATTATTTCCAGTCTTTATCTGTGGTTCATTTCCTTTTCTATTCAA